CTGAGCGCGGGCACAAGTCGCGCCACCGTGTAGGTTCTCTCGTCCTGTGTGATTCCCCTGGCGAACGATCGAGCCTTCGGCTGGTGTCTGCGACTGCTATGCAGTCCGCCATCCCACTCCGGAGGTGCTTTTCAGACGCGTCCCCTGGCCGGCACATGGTGTTATCCGTCTTTAGCGTATTGAATTGTTTGTTACCGTCCGTTGACCTGGACTCAGTTGGTGCCGCTGTAAATGGACCGGGCAGGTGGTGATACATCAGGGAATATGAACAATATCCATCCGTTCTCGGCTAGCTACATATCTAACCGCGTTACGTCAGTTACCTTTCTCTTTACCAGCGTGCGGTCTGGCCAAGGGGTGCCCACCGACGAGCTGAAACGTTATGGAGCGTCCCTGAGTTGAGACCAGGGAGGGCGAGGAAAGTCGCCTCATCGTCGAACATATATGTAATGCACGCGAGGAGTTGTACCCCTAGCGCGGGGTCCGAGGGTCTCTCAGTGCCTGCTATGAGTCCCCATGGAGCCCCATGCACAGTCGAACGATCTTATGTAGACAACTGGCCCTCCCTTGTACTGGTCGAATGTATCGAACCTGTCGTCAAAGCTGCAAGTGTGAGCCAATATGGTTTGGGGAGGGTCTACGAGGGAGGAGGCAGGGAGGGGAAGGTGACGCGGGCGCGTTCCCATAACAGCCAGAACACCATACTGAGCACATGGGCGAAGCAGACAAACAAATTGCAAATTGCAAAGCCTCGATCGCGGATCCTGACGTTTCAAACTCCCGCTCAAAACAGATCCCAGGGCCCCGCCTGGAGCACATCCTGGCCAGGTGTGCGAGTTGCGTCCAGCCGTGGCGACGAGAGCCTCAACACATGCCGAACCACACACACACACACCTTGTCCTCCGCCGGCCAGGTGACGTCACCGCAGCAAGTCATAGCATGGGGCACAGGCTGCTCATCTGAGAGCACACTCACACGCACGCACGCACGCAAGCACGCACGCACGCACGCACGCATGCACACACACACACACACACACAAACACTCTCTGTTGCACTGCGAGGCGATCGCCCGTCGTGACAGTGACTAGTGAAACCACCCCGGCGAAGGACGGAGGAAGGGAGAGGGGGAGGAAGGAGGGGGTCGACAATCCGCACCCACCGAGCGACTCACAGCCGCGCAGCTCGAGACAACACAAAGCAATGTGGACCTCGAGCCTCACCTGTGATCGTGCTCTTATTCATTGTTTCGCCGATCGGCGCGGGCCCTCGCACCCCCCCTCCGTGCCCATGGAGTCGACCTTGGCTGTTTGTGGGCGCCTGTTTCGAGCAGGTGGAGCCTCCCCTATAGGACGCACTGCTGCAACCAGTCGCATCCGGAAGAGGCCCGGAGCACCCCCACCCTCCCCCCCCCCTTTTCAACCCTATTCCGAAATGCCGAATAATAAAGCGCCCACCTTCTCTGACTCGATTGGCCTCATCCTCCTCCTCTCCTCCTCCTCCTCCTCCTCCTCCCCCTCCCCCTCCCCTTCCTCCTCCTCCTCCTCCTCCTCCTCCTCCTTCTCCTCCTCCTCCTACGCCTCCTCCTCCTCCTCCTCCTCCTCCTCCTCCTCCTCCTCCTCCCTCCTCCTCCCATGGAGGGTGTGGCTGGGCTTCCCTGGTAGCCCTGGCCTCTGGGGCGGCGAGGCGGCCGCGACCCCAGCCACGCCAGTGGGGGCACGAGCAGCAGCAGCGGCGCGAGCGGCACCGCGCCGACCCTGTAGGGGCACGTGGCGGGAAGGGGCGGAGAGATGCAGGGAGGGGAGGAGGAGGAGGGGGAGGAGGAGGAGGAGGAGGAGGAGGAGAGGAGGAGGAGGAGGAGGAGGAGGAGGAGAGGAGGGAGGAGGAGGGAGGAGAAGGAGGAGGAGGAGGAGGAAGAAGAAGAAGAAGAAGAAGAAGAGGAGGAGGAGGAGGAAGAGGAGGAGGAGGACAGTGGGGGCAGGAGGAGGAGGAGGACAGGGGGGGGCAGGAGGAGGGGGAGGAGGAGGACAGGGGGGGGCAGGAGGAGGGGGAGGAGGAGGACAGGGGGGACAGGAGGAGTGGGAGGAGCAGGAGGAGGAGGAGGAGGAGGAGGAGGAGGAGAATGAGAAGGGGGAGCAGCTGGAGGATGAGAGGCGGCGAAGGAGGGGGAACAGGAGGAGGAGCATGAGAGGAGCGAGATGGGAGGAGCGACAGACTGGCCCCTCGGCGTCAGCGTCAGGGGCAGGGGCAGGAGGAGGGTCAGGCTGGCCAGCTCGAGCGAGTCAGCGGGCCCCGCAGCGCAAGTGCGAGTGCTTGCTCGGGTGGATTTCGGGACCGCCGCCCGCTCGCGCGCGCGCGCGAGGCCCTGCTCCCGGCGGCACGGCGAAGGAAGCCATTGGCCACGCACAGGCGAAACGCAGAATCCCGGCGTCGAGCTCCCGACCCGACCCTCTCTGGCCACCAAGGCAGGCAACTCGACGGGCGGAGGGGGCAGGGCTCGGAGCTGGTCAACCACGCGGCAGAATTCGAACCCCAACCCACGCCGCCCATCGATTCAGGAGAATCGATGGTTAGTGGGGGTGAAGTTCGGATCTCGCAACCTAGAAGTCTCGGAAGTTCCAACCCTACCCCTGCCTCCCATCGATTCAGGAGAGTCGATGGCTGGCGGGGGTGGAGTTCGGATCTCGCAACCTAGAATTCTCGGAAATTCCAACCCTACCCCTGCCTCCCATCGGTTCAGGAGAGTCGATGGTTGGTGGGGGTGGAGTTCGGATCTCGCAACCTAGAACTGTCGGACGTTCGAACCCGCCCCCTGCCTCCCATCGATTCAGGAGAACCGATGGTTGGCGGGGGTGGAGTTCGGATCTCGCAATCTAGAACTTCCGGAAATTCGAACCACGGCCCCTGCCTCTCATCGATTCAGGAGAACCGATGGTTGGCGGGGGTGGAGTTCGGATCTCGCAACCTAGAACTCTCGGAAATTCCAACCCCACCCCTGCCTCCCATCGATGCAGGAGAATCGATGGCTGGTGGGGGAACAGTTCGGATCTCGCAACCCAGAACGCTCGGAAGTTCCAACCCCACCCCTGCCTCCCGTCGACCCAGGAGAATCGATGGTTGGTTACGGGACGCGAAAACGACCACAGCCACTGTTTTTCTTCTGTTGCCGCCTTCCAGCCAGCAGAAACAAAGCAGTGGCTGTGGTTGTGGTCGTTCTCGTTAAGCCTGGCACCAGGGACATGACCACAACCACTGTTTTTTTTCGGCCGGCTGGAAGGCGGCGCAAGCAAGAAGCAGTGGCTGTGGTCATTTCCCCGTCCCGCATTGGCGGGGGCGGGGCTCGGATCCCGCAGCCCAGAACTCTCGGAGAGTTCCTGCCGGCGCGGTGCCGAGGCAGGGCCCAGGTGGCGAGCCCACACGGGGGAAGCGGGCCCTCTCGCCAGAGGCTCGGAGGGCCTCCGGCCTTCCGAGGAGAGCTCCTGCGCCTCCCCCGAGGGACAGATCAGAGGAGGAAAATGGTACTCGAGATTTCGTAGTACAAGGGAGGGGGTCTGGACCCCCCAAGACAAGCCATTTCAGACCTCCCCCGTGGGAGAACCCTCCAGAACATCGTCCCCAGACCCCCCAGGCCCTCCAAGATAGCCTGGAAGAGACCCCCCCCCGAAATGAGACCCCCCTCCCTTTATTACGAAATCTGGAGTACCCATACTTCTACCCCTCCCTCGTTTTTTTTGGGGGGGGCCCCCTCGGCGGCCCTCGGCGCCACCGCCGGATTCGCTCCGGAATTCTGGTCAGAACGCACCTCGGGAGAGGTCCGGGGAGTAGCGGTATCGGTACTTCTTGGTTCCCCCAAGAGATGATTTCTCAGAAGGCCAGGGGGGGGGTTGTGAGAAGCCCACCCGCCTTCTGAGAAGGCCTGCTCCTTCGCACTTGCCCCCCCCCGGGCACGCTGCCGACAGGCGGAAGCAGACCTCTCGGAGAGAGTGCCTGCGGCGCGGTGCCGAGATAGAGGCACTTTTGAGCATGTCGCGCGCAGACAAGTCTCCAGCAGGAACGGCGAAGGCAAGACGTGGGTCGCGCCAAGGCGGGGCGCAAGCTGCCTCGGGGGGCAGCAACCTGCAGAAAAGGCATACAGAGATATCTCTTCCAAGGTCCGCGCGGACGTCTCGGAGCGGCGCCGGGGCCCCCCTGGCGGCGCCTCCGGCGTCGCTCCAGCCGCGCTCCGCTCGCCAGGGGAGGGGGGCCCTGCGCCGGTGCACGATATTTCGACTATGTTGGAGCATTCTTGGGCATCTGTTGACTATTTATCATTGTTCGTGCAAAATCCGCATGTAGGGGCACATGCCCGACCTAATCTCGCTCCTCTCTCGGGCGCGGCCCCGGCTCCGACAGACTGCGAGCAAGAGATGTGCGCCGCGCCCAGGCGGGCCCAAGCGTGAGCTCGGTCTTCCCAGACCGTGTGCGCGGCACTGAAGCGAGCGGGAGGTGTCGGCACCTCCCTCGCGGTGTGCGCCGCGTCCAGCCCCTGCCACGAATTTCACAGCGTCGGCGACAGCACGCATGCGGAGAGCAAAGGGTTCGGTTTTGTATTGCGATGGGTGGGGTGGAACAACCGAATTCGACCGGCAATCAGTCGGCCAGGCTGCAGAGTGGGAGCAGATGCGAAGAAGAAATAAGCATGAGGAGGCGATGGGGAGAACGGGGGGGACGCCCAGGAGGAGGGAGGAGGCGACAAGAAGGAAGCAGGACAAGATGACAAGATGAAGGAGGCGGGGAGGCGGAGGAGGAAGGACGAAGCGATGCGGATGACGGGATGGGCGGCAGCGCAGGGAGAGGATGCGATGAGGAGGAAGGAGGAGGGGAGGCGGGAGACGACGAGATGGAGGGGAGAAGAGGGGCGCAGGAGTGGAGGAGGAGGAGGAGGAGGAGGAGGAGGAGGGAGGGGAGGAGGAGGAGGAGAAGGAGGAGGAGGCGGCGAGGCGGCGAGGAGGCGGCGAGGAGGAATGCCGAGGTGCACCGTGGGGGGCCCCGCGAGCGGCGGGGCCCCCCGAAAGGGCCCCGGCCTGGCCGCGGCGGCCCCCCCGCGCCTTGGGCAGGCGGGGGGCCGCCCGTTTCACCCCTGGGGGGGGCATTCTGTGCGGGGGCGCCGCGGCGTGCGCCGGAGGCCTTCGCCTCGTCTGCACGGGGCATCCTCCTCCTCCTCCTCCTCCTCCTCCTCCTCCTCCTCCTCCTCCTCCTCCTCCTCCTCCTCCTCCTCCCCCTCCTCCTCCTCCCCCTCCTCTTCCTCGTCCTCCCCCCGTTTCACCCCTGGGGGGGGCAGCTGTGCGGGGGCGCCGCGGCGTGCGCCGGAGGCCCTTCGCCTAATCGGCGCGGGGCAGCCAGGCTCGGGTCGGGCGGGTCCACCTGCATCGGGGGATTTTGGGACGAGAGATCAGGCATACCCAAAGAAATGCTCAGACATACCCAAAGAAATGCTCAAACATAGGCTTCACCCATGGGGGGCATCTGTGCCGGGGCGCCGCGGCGTGCGCCGGAGGCCTTCGCCTCGTCTGCGCGGGGCAGCCAGGCTCAGGTCGGGCAGGTCCACCTGCATCGGGGGAGGAAAAGACGGGGGTGATGACTAGGGGAGGGGGATAGCATGGCGGGGGCCATGATGTTTCCCCAGATTTCATGGCGCCGCTTCTTATTCCATTGCGTCCCTGGCCCCCCCGCAGGGCCGCGCACATGCCGCCGGTCATGATTTGCACCCCCCCTCTTGGACACCCCCCTCTTGGCCGCTCCCGACTGCAGGGGGGTGTTGGACGAAAGATCAAACAGACCCCAAAACAATGCTCAAGCATAGTCCAACAAATACTCCACAGATCGTCCCCAGCCTGTTTTTCACTATGTTTAAGTCTTCCTCCTGTAGAGGGACAGGCCCGACTTCAATCCAGGCCCCCTAGATTCAGGGGAACGTAAAAGTTTGAGTAAGCCGGAGCTCGGGTGTGCCGACGTCTCCCGACGAGCGCGCCTGGGAGGTTGGACGGCCCAGTTTTCGTGGGGCGTCTGCAGCAGGAGCTCGCGTCAGATGTCAGGTTGGGCCCCGTCATTCCCCAAGCAGTGCTTACACCGAAGGAGTCCTAGCGGAAGTTGAAGGATTTGGCGAAAGTGTCCCGCCGATTTTGGTGGTCCGCTGGGTTCCCGGGTTCCCGGGTTCCTGGTTATTGGTTCCGGGCCGCTTTCGGTGGGTTCTGGGTTTTTGGGTTCCGGGTTCCCGGTTGATCTCCGTATCGATCTTTTTATCGATCCCATTTCAAACCATCCATTGATTGGGTTTTTTCTTCTCTGGTGTAATTTGTATGGTGGCCCCGACAGGCCAACCCGAGTCACCCGTGCCCGAGTCTTGCGTTTCCCCGATAGATTATGGGCCTCTTAGATGGGGTCCGAGTATATGGGTTCGGAGGATCGCGCCGCGTCGCCGATGCATCGCCGACGCGGCTCGATGTGGCGCCCGATTTGTTTCACATCAACGTCACCGATGCATCGCCGACGTCGACGATGCATCGCCAGCGCAGCGCCGATGCATCGCCGATGCATCGTCGATGCATTGGCGATGCGGCGCGATCCTCCGACCCCATCTACCCCGACCCCATCTAGGAGGCCTCTATAGATGGGTCCGAGCATCCCCCTCTGGCCCGATCGGCTGTTCTCACCGGGCCGGCCGCGCGGCATCGCCCCACCTCGGCGCGGGGTGTGCCGCACCAGCGGTCTGCGCGAGGAGGCCGCAGGCGTTTGTCCTTGTATAGCGCTGTGAGCAGCCCGGCGTTCGGCCGCGCTCTTGCTCGGGGGCGGCCAAGAGGGGGGGTGGACTATCAAGCAGTGGCGAAGCGTCGACGTCGACGTCGAACGTTCTGTGCTATTGGGAAGCCGCGATTGCCCACATTCAAGCAGTGGCGAAGCGTCTTAGCTCGCCTTTCGTGGTTTGCACGAAATGTTCTTAGAACATGTCTGGCTGATATTGTTTGGTTTTACCACATCGGGCTTATGTTCTAGGAGCACTTGTTTTTTGTTCTTACAACATTTGGGGGTTCGAAGAACATGTCGTGGTAGGCCTATAGGAATGCCGGGACGGTCGGGGGGTGGATATCATGGGGGCGCCATGATAGTTCTTCAGATTTCATGGCGCCTCTTCTTAAGGTACTACGTCCCTGGGCCCCCCCTGGATCGCGCCCGTGCCGCCGGCCATAATTTGCACCCCCCCTCTCTTGGACGCCCCCCTCTTGGCCGCCCCCGACTTGTGTTTGTAGGCATCCTAGGTGGGGTCCGAGTATATGGGGTCGGAGGATCGCGCCGCATCGCCGATGCATCGACCGTGCGGCTCGACGTGGAGCCCGTGTTTCCCCACGCCGACGTCGCCGATGCATTGCCCACATCGCCGATGCATCGCCGACAGAGGCCTCTAGGGTCGGCGGATTTGGGGTGGGCTCTGTAGGGGGTGGGCCTTGCAGGGGTCAGCTGCGCGCAAAAGAGGCTGGGGGCAGGGGGGAAGGCTTCCAAGAAGCACCCCTGCTTCTCAGAAGGCGCGGGCCGTGTCTACAGGTGTAGGGCTAGCGCCTTCTCAGCAGCAGCTTCCTTCTAAGAAGCCCTCTCCCATCCCCCTAGCCTCCTGTGCGCGCCGCCAGCGGAGGGTGGCCTCTGTAGGGGCTGGGCTTTGCTGGGGGGTGGTGTTGAGGGGTGGGATGCGCCAACTGGGGGGGGGGAGCCCCATGTGGACCCTGCCGCTGAGACCTTCGGTGGAGCTCCCTGTGGGGCCACGAAACGTGTGTGTGTGTGTGTGTGTGTGCCGAACTGGGCGGGGAACCGCACTGTGGGCGTACGAGAGGTGTGCCGAAATGGGCGAGGAATCACATATAGTCCTTGCCACTGTGAGGCATTCGGTGAGGCTCCCTACGGGACCACGCAACGTGTGAGGGGTGTGCCGAAATTGGTGGCGAACCGCAGGTGGACTTGGCCACTGGGGCCCTTCGGTGGATCTCCCCATGGGGCCATGGAACGTTTAAGAGGTGTACCGGCACAGGAAAGAGATGGAGGGCAGAGAGGGATGGGAGGAGGGCGAGGAGGAGGAGGAGGAGGAGGAGGAGGAGGAGGAGGAGTAGGAGGACCAGTGCAAACCCAAGGTTCATCAACGATGTTTGAATATGCCATCCTTCCAAGATCCCTCCTCACAGGCCCCTACAAGGATCCATGTTCACTGAGGGAAGTGACCCGTTGGGAGACAACCGTTCGAAGATTCTGAAGCGTGCCCAAACACCGTTCTTTTAATTTCAACGCCACGAGTCAGCTTGACTATCGCGTCTCGACGATCCTGAATCGTGCCAGACTCCGCTCCTGGCTGAACAACACAGCGAATCAACGTAACCGTGGTGCCCAGACAATCCTGAATCGTTCCAAAAAGTTGTTTCGAATACACAAACAATGGGAATCCTTTCAGGTATTGTACATGTCTAAAACGAATGTGCGCGGCGCTAAGGCGAGAGCATCATTTTGGAAAGGACCCGCCCTCAATCCGCAAAGATCTTGCAAGTGTGTGCGCGGCGCTAAGTCGAGAACCACAGTTTGAACAAGAACCGCCCTCAACTCGTGAAACCCGTGCTATATGTCAAAACGAACGCGTGCGGCGCTAAGGCGAGAACCACAGTTTGAAAACCACCCGCCCTCAACCCGTGGAACTCTTGCTATGTTTACGCGACAGTGCGCGGCGTTAAGGCGAGAGCTACATATTGAAAATGGCCCGCCATCCATCCGCAAAGATCTTGCAAGTGTTTGAGACAAGTGTGCGCGGCGCCCAGGCGAGAGCCACATTTAAAACACCGCCCGCCCTCCATCCGCCAAACTAGTGCCAACTTTGAATATTCAGGGTCATAAGCGGTGAGGAATTCTCAAGCGAAACGCCTGGCCCGCCCTTTCGACCAGCCTCGGGGTGAGACAAGAATAATAATCTATAAGGATGAATGAGGAGGAGGGACGCGAGGCGCTGTCTCTTTAGATCGAGGACCCAACTCAACACAGGATGGTTGGGAAAGAAATGATGGTATTTTTGATTGGGGGCTCCAGGAACCCCCAAGAACCTCCCAAGCTCCCTCCCCCCAGGCTGCTCCGCAGGGGCAAGCCCCCGAAACCCTCCCACTCACGTTTTTATGTTTGCGATTTTCGGAGGGGCTCCAGGAAACTCTCACACCGGTCTCCCACAGGCGCTTCCCCTCCCGACTTCGGCGCTCCCCTCACACGCTTCTTGGCCCCGTAGGCGGCCCCACCGAATGCCTCACAGTGGCACCCCCCAGTCCGGCACACCCCTCACACGTTTCGTGGCCCCATTGGGAGCTCCACCGAAGGCACCAGTGGCAGGGCCCGCATGCGGTTCCACCCCCCATTTCGTCTCACCTCTCACACGTTTCGTGGCCCAATCGTAGGGTCCTCCAGAGGCCCCAGTTGCAGAGTTCGGCGCACCCATAGGCAGCTCCGCCGAAGGCACCAGTGGCAAAGTCCGCATGCGGTTCCACCCACCAGTCAGGCGCACCCTTCACACGTTGCGTGGCCCCAAAGGGAGGTCCACCGAAAGCACCAGTGGCAGGGCCCGCATGCAGTTCCACCCACCAGTTCGACGCATCCCTCAGACATTGCGTGGGCCCACAAGGAGGTCCACCGAAGGCCCGAGTTTCAGAGTTCGGCGCGCCCCTCATTAGGTGCGTGGCCCCACAAGGAGCTCCACCGAAGGCACCAGTGGCAGAGCCCGCATGCAGTTCCACCCACCAGTCCAGCGCATCCCTCATATGTTGCGTGGCCCTCCCATAGGGAGCTGCCAGTGGCAGGGTCCGCATTGGATTCCACCTCCATGTCGGCGCATCCCTCAAACGTGTCACCGAAGGCCCACCGAAGGCACCAGTGGCATGGTCCGCGTTCGGTTCCCCTCCCGACGTCGGCGCTCCCCTCAGACGCTTCGTGGCCCAATACGGAGCTCCACCGAGTGCCCGCGCACGGATCCACCCCGCATTTCGGCGCACCCATAGGCAGTTCCGCCGAAGGCACCAGTGGCAGAGTCCGCACGCGGTCCCCCCCCCACAGTCCAACGCACCCCTCACACGATGCATGGCCCCAGAGGAAGCTCCACCGAAGGCATCAGTGACAGGGCCCGCATGCCGCCCATTTCGGCGCATCCGTCCAATGTGTCGCCGTCCAACGGGAGCTCCACCGAAGGCAAGAGAGGCAGGGTCCGCATGGGGTTCCACCCACCAGTTCGGCGCATCGTTCACACGTGTCGTGGCCCCACAGGGAGCTCCACACAAAGCACCGGTGGCAGGGCCCGCGTGTGGTTCCACCCCCCATTTCGTCACACGTTTGGCAGGGTCCACATGCGGTTTCGCCACACCCCTCACACGCTTCGTGGCCCAATTCGGGGGCTCCACCGAAGACCCCAGTTGCAGAGTCCACATGCGGTTGCACCCACCAATTCGGCGCACCTAGTGGCAGGGTCCGAATGCGTTTCCACCCACCAGTCCGGCGCACACCTCACACGGTTTTTGGTCCCAACAGGAGCTCCACCAGAGGCACCAGTGGCAGGGCCCGCATGCGGTTCCACCCCCCATCTCGGCGCACCCCTCACACGCATCGTGGCCCCATAGTAGGCGGCTCCACCGAGGGCCCAATTGCAGGGCCCGCGTGCGGCTCCACCCCTCCCTGTTGGCACACCTCCGCTTGTGGTTTGGGTGCTTGGCCCGAGTAAATCCACTGAGTGCCAGGAGGCAAGGACAGGTGGCGTGAAGCAGCAGCAGCAGCAGAAGCCCCCCCTGATCTCGGGCCTCCTCCCCGCCCCCCTCCTCCTCCTCCTCCTCCTCCTCCTCCACATCCTCGTCCTCCTCCTCCTCCTCCGCCTCCCTCTCCTCCTCCTCCTCCTCCTCTTCCTCCGCCTCCCTCTCCTCCTCCTCCTCCTCTCCCTCCTCCTCCTCCTCCTCCTCCTCCTCCTCTCCTCCTCCTCCTCCTCCTGCTCCTCCTCCTCCTCCTCCTCCTCCTCCTCCTCCTCTCACTCCCCTTCCTCGCACGTTGTGGCCTTGGGAACCTCGAGGCAGGCGTCATTGCCGTCCAGAAAGCCTCGGGAGAGGGGGCGATGCATGGAAGGGGATGTTTCGAGAGGGGAGGCTCCGCCGAGAACTACAGAAACCTTGCATGATAGCACTTGGCATTCTAGCACGTCTCAACGGGGCTCGGTGGCGGACATAGAAGTACTCCAAACTCAAAGCCGTAGCATAAACATAATGTCCAAAGCTTGCTAACAAAAATTATGTCCCCCCTCGGATCCCGACTTGAAAATATCCCACGTAGACCGAACCATGCGATTGATATATGTGTATGCTTGTAAACATATACAAACATACACACGCACGCACGAGCATTGAGGATATCGATCAAAGAGGGGGGGTCCCTTAAGTAGGACCGCCCCTCCGGAGCCCCCAAAGTCGCCTCGTGGGGTCCTCTTGGAGCGTTTTTGGAGTGCTCTTGGGCGCTCTTGGGGCCATCTTAGGACCATGTTTGGCCTCTCTTGGGGCCCTCTTGGGCCATCTTGGAGCCATCCTGAGGCCTCGGGAGCCCATCAGAAGCGAAAGGGCGAGAAGGCCAAAATCATTGATTTGCTTCACGTTATGGTCGGATTCTAGATTCTTGGGGGCCTCCTCGGGAGTCTCCGCGGCCACTTGGACCCGTCTTGGGGCCATCGTAGGGCCATTTGGAGGCAGGACGATCTGGCGCCATCTTGGAGGCCATCTTAAAGCACCTGGGGCACTCTCGGGGCCCCTCTGGGGCCCTCTCGGCACCGGAGTGGGGGCGCAAGTGATGGTCCCCGAGAATGGTCTCTGTCCACGCCAGGGTCGCAGGGCAAGGCTGGCGCGGCGTTTTCTCGGCACCACGTAAGTTACATTGTTGTTGGTCTCGGCGCGCGAGCTGCAGCCGCAGGCCCCAGTTCGGCAAGAGCACAGGCATCACTCAGTAAGCAGCCGCGCTCGCGTCGGATACTTTCTCCCTTGAGCTCCTTTTGCGTGGCTTGGCCCGCCAGCAGCCGGATGACCGGACCCACCGCCCCTCATCCCCATCTTCTCTTTTCCTTCCTTCAACATCCCCACAACCGCCTCGTCAAGTTCCCCCCAGCCCTCTCCTCCCCCGCCCCCCCGCCCCCTTTCCTTTTCATGTTCCCACATGCTCTTCGCTGTGCTCCTGAAGCGAATGTAGCCCTTCGCCTTCGGCACCACAGCCGTGCGAGCGCCGCGTCGCTCGCGGTCACCGCAGAGCGCTGCCGCATGCCCAGACCTCCTGTCGTCCCCCCGGCGCGGGCGCGCGCCGTGCCGCGCCGCCGCCGCCCCTCTGCAGGCCAAGTCGCTGCGCACTGGCGCTTGCAGCCATAACGCGCACCGAGAAGCTCGATCTCCCCCTCCTCCTCCTCCTCCTCCTCCTCCTCCTCCTCCTCCTCCTCCTCCTCCTCCTTCTCCTCCCCCTCCTCCTCCTCCTCCTCCTCCTTCTTCTCCTCCCCCTCCTCCTCCTTCCCCTCCTCCTCCTCCTTCCTCCCCCTCCCCCTCCTCCTCCTCCTCCTCCTCCTTCTCCTCCCCCTCCTCCTCCTCCTCCTCCTCCTCCGCCTGCTCCTCATCCTCTTCCTCCTCCTCCTCGGACTCCTCCTCCTCTTCCTCCTCCTCCTCGGACTCCTCCTCCTCCTCCTCCTCCTCCCTCCTGCGTGCACCTTGTGGTCACCATTCGACGCAGACGCTGTGTGCCGGCAGGGCACCACGGGAGCCCGGCGGTGCAGACGAGCACCATGCGAGCACCAGCGAAGGATGAGGAGTAGCCGCAGTCGAAAGAGCACCAGCGTGCACACGTCATCACGCACGTGCGTGATAGAAAGCAAGGTCGCCCAGCAATGAGAGGGTGCGGGAGGCGAAGAGGGCCGGCGACGACTCGTCCTCCAGCAGTTATTCCGGCAAGTATTCCGACCTCCTCGAAGGTCCGCCCATGGCATGGGGAGGTCACTCACACGCAACGAGCATCAACAGTCATGCCCTCGCGGTCTGGATGCCGAGGCGTGATCCCATTGATGCGTTCCGCGCGAAGTGTCCCCGCAGAGCCTTCTTTCACTCATGGGGTCGCGGCTGGGGAGACCGGACCGTGGATATGCACATGTCCACCGCCCGTGATCTACGAGCGCGCGCTTTCAGCCAAATCTCGCCAAGATCTGGGATCAAGGATCTGGGGCGCTTGTTCTGTTGTTCCCATCGTACTTAAGGACCACATCCCAGAAATGAGTTCGAGCACCCGGAAAAGTGTCGAAACAGTGTCGAACGAGTGTCTCCCAGGGCCCGACACGTGAAAACCTTCCAGTTTCGGTGCTTTCTTGGTGCTCGAAAGTCTTTCTGGCGGTCAAGGCTAAAGTCGGTTGGAACATCGCAAGGTGTGTGATCTGCCCTCACTGGGCCGTCGGAGGCCCCCGGGAGCTCCCGGCTTCACCCATGGAGCCTCCATGCAGGGACCTCCAGGCTCCAGGATCGTTTCGGGGGCCTGGTTCTTGCCCAGGTTGGGCGGGGCCAGCCCGTGACTGGGCCAGCGGGGACGCCTCCTCTCTCTCTCTCTCTCGACGAGCGCGTTCCACGACTCGCACAGTGCCTGCTCGCAGACGTCCGAAGAACACATGTCCGCCGTGACGTGATTTCTCGCAGATCCCCCGCGGGGGATCCAGGCCATTTGCAAGCAGCTACAGTCGGGGCCCTGAAGAAGGAACCCTTTTCGTTGGGGAGGGGCTCCGCGTTCCTTAAGTGTTTCACAGCTCGCCTCAGGTTGTCCTTATGTTTCCGATAGGAAATCGAAGTTTCACTTATGGAAAAAAGGGGCGTCGTTCCTTATTTAGGGTTCCTTAGGTCAACGCCCCGACTGCACTTTGCGAGCAGAGGAACGCGCTCGTCGGCTCGCGCTCTCGAGCATGACTGCTCAGCAGGAGGGGTTCCCGTGAGCGGGGCGAGCGGCGTGGCGGGTTGCGGGGGGGCAGGCGGGGAGGGCAGGCAGCACCCGGGGCGGCAGCGGGAGCAAAGGGCGGCCGGACCCGCAGCGCTCGACCCCGCTGCGTGGAGCCCCGACGGGGCCAGACTTCAGTCGGGCGTGTCCCTCTACAGGCGGAATAGTCGAAGATAGTCCAAAGATCAGCAGGGAACTGTTTTTCTAGCACTTCTCTTGCCATGTGGAAGTATGTTTGGAGTACTTTTCCATTGTCCTCGAAAATCGGCCTGTAGGGGGACGGAGAGGCCCGACCTGAAGCCAGACCGCAGTGTCTCGTTTCGGGGCCTGGGTAGCACCGAGCCCCCGCGCGCACCCCTGCGCGCGAGCCGCGCCAGGGGCGCCATCGGCGCACGTGCCCACCCTCCGAGGCTCCTGCTGCCACTGCACCCTTTTCGAGCACGCTGTGGCCACAGGTTTGCGGTTGTCGACGACACGTAAGAGTGACCCTTCGCCAGAGTGGCCTTCGGTGCGGGCCCACCGGGGTCCCCCGATCGTCGAGCGCGGTGCAATATAGCAGTGTCTTGCGCGCTCGTATTTGGCCCCTCCGCGGTCCCCAAAAAGCCGCGCACCAAAAGTCGGGCCTGTCCCTCTACAGGAGGCAAATTCAAAAATAGTTGAAAGAATAGTCAGGGGACGATTTTTCTATGTTGTGTTGACTACGTTTGAGCACGTGTTGACTATTCTTATTTTTCATGCGAAACCCCCCTGTAGGAGGATATGCCCGACCTAAACCCAGGGCCACCCCTGCGTGTAGCCGAGGTTGATGGCGTCGGCGTCTGCTACTTCCTGCCCCCCCCTCCACCCGCTGAGTCAACCCCGCCGCCCGCCGCGTGCCGTGCTCAGCATCGGGGAGAAGGAAGTCACACTCTCCTCCTCCTACTCCCCCTCCCCCTCTTCCTCCTCCTCCTCCTCCTCCTCCTCCTCCTCTCCCCCTCCTCCTTCTCCTCCTCCTCCTCCTCTTCCTCCTCCTCCTCCGACCCCCAACCCCACACACCCGCGCGGGGGCTGGCATGATGGAGGGCGAGGACGAATGGAGAGAGGGAGGGCGGGAGGAGTCTGTCTGCGTGTCTTCCCCCACTCCAGCCCCGCATGTCAAACATCGCTAGCTGCATGCTCTGTGGGCCACGGCTGTCGTCGCCAGGTCTCCTTCACCCAGAGTGTTCACACCCCCGAGGCCCGAACTTGTCTGCCGAAGCCGAGGGGGGGCTCAAAGGGTTGTGCAGTGGCGGCCAGCGCGTCGTTGGCTCGCCCCACGCGGGGCGGGCCTCGGGACATGGAGAGGCGAGGGGAGCCGGGCAACCTCTTAGGAGGCGGGGATGTCGTCGTCGTCGTCGTCGTCGTCTTGGTTGTCGTCGTCGTCGTCGTCCTGGTCGTCGTCGTCGTCGTCGTCGTCCTGGTCGTCCTGGTCGTCGTCGTCGGCGGCGTCCTGGTCGTTGTCGTCGTCGTCGGCGTCGGCGTCGTCGTTGTCCTGGTCGTCGTCGTCGTCGTCCTGATTGTCGTCGTCGTCGTCCTGGTTGTCGTCGTCGTCGTCCTGGTCGTCGTCGTCGCCGTCATCGTCGTCGTCGTCCTGGCTGTCGTCGTCGTCGTCCTGGTCGTCGTCGTCGTCGTCATCGTCGTCGTCGTCGTCCGACCCGGCAGGAGTGGCGGCGGGGGGGAGCACCTGCTGGGTAGCGCTCCCCGGGGCCGCGCCGCGGGCGGGGTCTCTCGCGGCGTCTGTGCGGCCGCCCTGGCGGGAGACAAAAGCCCAGCGCCCTGGGCATGGCACGTCGTCGTCAGTGTCGAAAGTGGAGGGGGCGGGCAAGGGGGAGGGGGGAGGGGGAGAGGCTGGGGGATTGTGGATCCCCTCAGGGTTCCAGAGGAGTATTGCAAAATGGCATCTTTCTCTTCATCAGTATCCTTATCGTTTTTCTTTCTCGCTCTCTCTCTCTCTCTCTCTTTCTCTCTTTCTCTCGCTCGCGTTGTCTTTCACTGTCCCCTCTTTAGCTAACATGAACTGAATGCATGAGACGCGCAAGCCTGGGACGTGCATGCCTGGCTGGGCCAAGCAGGGCTTGGCAAGGATATGCAGTGCTCAGGAGGGGCGAGCAGGGCTTCGCAAGCCAGATCAAGGGCTAGCAGGTCCTAGCAGGGCTTGGCGCTGCTTACCACAGCTTATCAGGGCCCTGCATCTACTAGGCTGGCTTAGCGAAGCCGGGCATGGGATTATCTCCGCTTAGCAGGCCGTATCGGGTCGAGCGCTTACGTTTGCCTCGCAGGGCTTAGCAGGGCTTACCAAGTGTTTGCAGAGCTTCGCGGTGCTTGGCGGGGGGGTCCTAACAGTTACTACCAGGGCTTGGCAGGGCTCAGCAGGGCTCAGCAGGGTCCTAGCAGAACTTAGCAGAGCTCAGCAGGGCTTCCCATGTCATGACAGGTTCTCGCAGACCTTAACAGGGCTTAGCAACGCCTGCCAGAGCGTAGCCGGGTATAGCAACGCGGGCCTTAGCAGGGCTTAGCACCCCCCCCCGAATCCTCAGCACCCTCCCAAGTCTAAGTCTATGTTGGGCGCCTTCCTACTTCAAGAGTGTAGTGGCCTTCCCTTTTCCCTCGTCCTCAGTGGGGCGGGCGGACGCCCAATCTACTTGCATCGCCTTCCTACTTCATGTGTCCACCCATTTCTTCCGACTAGCGTGTATGTATATATATATATATATATATATATACGCCAGCGGAAGGGGATCGGGGCCGCCAGGCCGGTACCTGCGTCCCCCATGGCCGACCCGGGGCTCTGGGAGCGCTCCTGTCCGGGCCAAGTCCCCAAACCGGTCCTAGAAGGCCCCGGGGCGCTCAAAGATCGCCCCCGGCCGCTCCAGATGGCCCCCATTGAGCCCAAGAAGCCGCAACAACGCCCCAAGTTGCTTTCCAAGGGGCACCAAGCGGCCGAAATCATTGATTCTGCATAACAAACGTGCGTTTTCAGCATCTACGTCTGTTCGGTCTTCACGGCGTGCACGAGGGTACAAGAGGCCCCCACGACGGCCCCAAGACGGCCCAAGAGGCTCCCAACACGGCCCAAGAGGAGCCCAAGACAGCCCCAGAGGCGGCCAAGGCGTGCTCAAGAGGCGGCCAAGACGTGCCCAAGGAGCCCCAAGGGGCTTCCAAATCGGTCCAAGACGGCCCCAGGGCTTTCAAAGATCGCCCCTGGACACCCAAGATGGTTCCCATAGAGCCCAAGAGGCCGCTACGACGCCCCAAGAGGCTTTCCAGGGGAGCCCCAAGCGGCCAAAATCATTGATTTTGTATGGGAAAACGTGTATGTTTAGCATATACGTTTTTTCGGTCTTCACGGCGTGCACGACGGCACAAGAGGCCCCGAAGACGGCCCCAAGAGGCTACCAACACGGCCCAAGACAGCCCGAGGGGCGGCCAAGGCGTGCCCAGAGGGCCCCATGAGGTTCCCAAAACGTTCCATGGCGGCCCCAGGGCGCTCAAAACTAGCCCTTGGACGCCCAAAACGGTTCTCACAGTACCCAAGAGACCAGGCCCCAAGAGGCCCCCTAAGAGGCTTCCCACGAGGGCCCCAAGAGGCCACAATCATTTATTTTGCATTGGAAAACGCATATCTTTAGCATCTACGACTTGTCGGTCTTCATAGCAGTGACGACGGTACAAGCGGCCCCCAAGAGAGTCCCAAAGCGGCCCAAGGGGCTCGAAAGACGTCCCGAGAGGGGGCCAAGACACCCCAAGAGGTCCCCAACACGACCTAGGAGAGCTCCAACCCAAGACTGGGAGCCCGAACCGAAAATCCGGCCCTTCCGCCCCAAGAAGGTCCCCGGAGGCCCCTGGAGGCCCCGAAGAGG